CCATGTTGCCGGGCCGGCGCGGCCCGCCGCTAACGGCGGCACTAACGGGTCCGAGCGGCCGGGGGAGCGGCGGAGGGCGGTCCGTCCGTCCGTCCGTCCGTCCCGCGGACGGCGCCTTTCCGTCTCGAAGCCCGCACTCCGATGGAAGCTTTCTGGGCACTTCGTGATAACTAAAAACGTCGTTCTTTTTTCCTACGTGTGCTTGTGGTGCTGCGCTCTTACGAGCGCTGTTCCTGCCTGCGTTTCCCCGAAGAACTGGAGCAGCTGGAGCTGGCCGAGGCCCGCTGCTGCTCTGCTCCCATGCGCCCCGTGGGCCCTGCGTGACCGCCTGGCGACTGGGCGAGGAGGGAGGCCGAAGGAAGGGCTCTTTGTGGCTGCTGCTTACGACCGCGGGGAGCCCGTGCCTCCTTTGTAGCGCCGGGCGTTTACATCCAGTAATCACTTCGCTGTTTTAAAATAAAGATTAACTGTAGTTTGTGAGGGAGGTGGCCACATACCCTTTTGTAAAGGAGGTTGGCTCTCTTCTTGCAATTTTCTTTTATGAACGAAAAAACTGCCTTTATTGGCAAGGAGCGATGGGGTTGGTCAGCATCTGTGAATTGCCTGGCAGTTCTGGGAAGGCAGAGCAGCAGTTGTTGGGGCAGCGAGCTGCAGTACTCTGCCCACGGTCATCAGCTGCAGCATTAGGTGTTGGGTTTGGCATCCCATACCCGATCTTTCTGAGCTGTAGCCGCGTTTCCAAAGGTGAGAGCTTTGTGTCAGCTTACTGCTTTGTAATGGTTGCTGAGCTCGGCAGGTGTTGGGATAAACAATGTGTCATATTGATGTCATATTGATGGCCACTGGGAATGGGAGCTATGCAGAGAGCACAGCTTTGTAACTCCCTTAGCTGTGACGCTGGTGTGAGCGTGACCATCTCCGAGCTGCTCTCTGTCGATTTTGCACAAGTGTGTGATCACGTACTGAGCTAGATCTGGGGCCTTATTGAGCTGGATAGAAACAATGACTTTTGTCACACTATTTCCCAGTGAGGTTGGTTCCCCAGATCCAGTTTGCCATGCAGTGGTAAACAGTTGTGCTGACCCACTGAGAGCAGAGGATGGAGCAACACTTAGAACTTCAAACGGCGTTGCTGCCGAAGGGTCTGCCTGCAGTGAGATATGCTTGCCTTCAGGAAATAACTATCAGCTATGCTTGCTTATTTTTAAATGTTTTTTAATAGTTAAGCTTTTGTTTATTATTCTTCTTGGTGGCTCACATTTCTACCTAAGCATGGAGTCAAACCTACTTAGTAACAGAGATCTTAGATGCTTAGTGTTGCGTAAATACTGCATAATGTTCCACTGAACAAATTAATTCTATGGGGATGTAAGGAATTTGATTATCATGTGATCATATGGAGCCTCTTTTCTTGTAAACATTCAAAATCTTGTCCAAGGTTTAGCTGGGTCCTGCTCCACGTTCTCAGTAACATACAAGTTCTAGAGTTGTTTTATATCTTGTTAAGGGACTGGAAAAAACTTACTGAAACTATTTAGGAATATTGAGTACTGCAGGGTGTCCAATGGAAACTGCTAAGAAAAGCAAGATTATTCTGTATAAGTCTGTTGTACAGTGGCTTATACTTCCACTGCAGGGAAAATGTGATGGTTTGCAAAATTGAAAAGTAGTATCTGTCAGTTTTTTTTCTCTTATGCTATCCCAGAAGGTTGCTCTTTTAAGACTGTTCTAGATTAATTTGTCTGAATATGCAGAAGCCTGTCCTGTTAGTTGGTTCATCTGTAGCCTTTGAGGATTACTGTGTTCAGATGACACTGTGCAAAAGTCCACAAAGTCAACAACAAGACCAATAGTAATGCTTTAGTAAACAGTAGTTTACCAAAGGTGACTTTAAAATGTAGCCATGGAGAAACTAACATGCGAGTGGGATAAGTTGTGTGGAAGTAATTTATGTGGGAGCAGTTGATCCCTTATTGCTCAGATTGGAAACAAACATTATGGTTCTTTGATTTGCTTTCTGACAGCTACTTTTGTACTTGGTCAAATGTGGTTCTTAGGTATCTAACATCACATTTCAAGAGTAGACTCAAGTCATGTAACTTGAGAAACTTGTTTAGGCAAAACAGACAATAGGTAGGACTCAAAACTGAGCTGTTCTTTCTTTAAATGAAATGGTATTACTCCTAAGGGGATATAAACATAGTGGTATAGGGTCTTGAAGTTCTGGGAAGTTCAAAATACCTCTTCAAATACAAGAGGTGCTGAGAGGTATTAGTGACAGAAAGCTAGCATGTGAATTCAGTGCAGGCCAGGTTTAGCTTTAGATTTACTCCTATTACGAGGTATTTCAGCTATAGCCTTGTCCCTCTCTGGTTGAAATCTGTACAGTGCTCAGGTTTAGTATGGTCAACATAAATGTATCTTGTGTGCTGTTGAATAATTGAGAGCTTCTAGCATGAATTGGCCTCCTCACTGTAAATTACATTTCTGGCAATACAAAGCCTCCTATATTTTAAGAGAAGGAATGTGTTGGACATCTTGTAACTGAGATAAACATCTTTCTGAAAGCAATTTAAGAACAGATATGTTTCACAGAACATATTGAATTTCAAACTTATTTTGAGCTAATGCATTAAAAATAGTATGAGTCTGTGTTATGTTGCTTCTGCTGATTCAACCTGCAGGTCTAGAGGTACATAGGAAATTTTGATGATGAAGCCTGACCCTTTGGTAGCTCTGTAAAGATCAGTGTGAGCCTTGAGTGGATGGGGCAGGGAATCAAATGAGCGGAACTAGGAGACAGCGTGAAGTATGAAAGGGAAATTTCTCAAATCCTAAACTGTAATATTTCTCTACTTTGTTCATTTTGTGAAGGTATTAAAAGTGTTGTCTATAGATTTGTGTGCTATGCAATGTTTTGTTAACTGCCTGAAAATGACACTTGCCCTTGATTATTATGTAGTGGATGTAAGGCTGTAAAATTTTAACTATTGAAGTTTTTCTAAATGTGTAGAACAGTTGTTCAAGTGAATAATCTCTTAATCATCATTCCATTTTTCTTGCATCTAGTGCTGTTTGTTCCATTAGCTTGTGTATGTTATCTGCTTTAATTGGGCATATCAGTCTGGTTTCTGTGGTTGAGGAACAACCCCTCTGAGCATTCCTACACTACTACATCTTAAAATTCATTTCTGAAAACTGAATATCTTACCTTTTCAGCCAACAATTCCAGCCTTGGTTGCAAGAATGGCTCTGTATACTTAGAGTAATTTGGGTGCTTTTTTTGTCTGTTGTGTAGTATTGTTGATTATGGAAATGAGAAATGTTACACATAACTTCTTATTCCTTGAGTTATCGGAGCTGTTTTCAGCAATTTTTGGGGAGGTTTCTTTTTGTGCGTCTTAGGATTTAGTGCTAAGTGTTGCTAGTCATCTTTTCCCACCTGTAGGTTTCATGTTCCAGTAGCATGGGCAGCAGCAGAGCACAGAGCGGTGTGAGATGTGGCAGTACTTACTCAATCTCTTGTTCCTGTCCTCCTGTACTCATGTTGCATTTCTCTCCTGATTTGTTGGGGTATCACTCACTTAAAATCATGAACCGTGTTTGTTTTCTAATGGTGAATGCCTCCTAGAAGTCTGTGGTGTTCTAAATTGCAACATATGCTGCCAGGTTAGATGTTCCCTGTTAGGCTTTGGTTATGTTATGCCTAGAGCTTTTTTTGTTCTGGTGTCTGGAAAGCCATTTGCTGGATTTGCAGTAGGGTGCTACTGGTACCTTTATTCCAATTAGTAGTACTTATAATCCATGTGATCTTTACCTCTGTATAGTCATTCCTGAGCTGGGTATCAGTCCTGCTGATCTGTACAATGCCATGTTTGTTTTGTTTTCTCTCAGGATTTGTTTGTGGGTGGGCTTAAATTCTTTTTTGTGTAGAGTATTTGAGATAAATAACTCTTGATTTTTGTACTTTGTGAATAGTTGTCCTAACTGTAGTGCAGTACAGGTATCTACAAGAAGCACCAGGAGATAACTGACATCTGCTAACTGGACCACATATTTCTCTTCTTTTGGAAACCCGAAGTGAGGAGGGGAAACCATTCAGATGTATCTTAGTTTGGTTTAATTCAAAGAAACTGCATGGGCTTCTTCTGCAAGCTGAATTCTCTAAAGTTTCACCAAGAATGCATAGTGGTGTGAGGTTGCTTCCTTCTGGAACGTACGTGTCATTCTTTTAACTGGACTTCCTAAACAACTTTTGTAGATTATTAAATCATGGATGTGGTCTGGGCGGTATCTGCGAACACTGGGTGGAACCTAGTCAAGCGGGTTGCTTCTTTTAAATAACCTGACTATGCAGTTCTTGCAGTGAGCAGCACCCATTTCCTGTCCCAGCAACATGCACACCTTCCTTTCATGCACTGGTCATTATGTGCTGTGGAGAAGGAATGAATAACACCAATTAAGTCTGCAAGTGTCAGAATCCAGGTAACGTGCAGATAGGCACAGTCACTAAGTGCTGAGTAGGTGAATGTTTCGTAGGCTTCTGCAAGCTGATTCCTACATCAAGAAGCATGTGGGTAGCGAATGTCATTCCTAATTACGTGCTGTATTGTGTTTGAGGAGTAGGATTGGCCATTTGAAGCTTTCCAGTCTGGCTGGTAATGCTACCATCTTTTATTACATCTGTTTTAAAAGCAACAAACCTGGTGATGGTTTAATAGTAGACGCAATGTCAATTTTAGGTTAAAGAAGGAATTAGTTATGAGCAATAGTAAAATACTGTAGATGAATGTAAGTCTAGAAGCCTAGAAACTGTGGGTGGAGACGATCTGGCTTTAAGTTAATAGTGCAGCAATTGCAGGACTTCAAGGTGTGAACTGGTAAAATACATGAAACATAACTTTAATTCATACTATATTTATAGAATCATGTAAAGGCAGTGTTGGGTGTGTGCTTGTGGTTTGCTGTAGGATTTCAGTAGCTGGAAAGAGGTTGAGCACAAGAAAGGGATTCTGGCGGTTACTGAACTGGCATGCTTTGTGTTTGATTAATGGGAAATACTTTGCTATACAAACACTTCTGTTTGGTTAGAATGGTGAGATAAATGAGATGAAAAGAAAAGGGAGCCGGTATGGTTAACTAACTAAAAATGAAAGTGCTTTTTATTTTGATGGATAGCGCTGGAAAATAAAAAGTAGTGCATATAAGCTGCTTTAAGCTTCTGCCTGAGATTAAGCAGAAATGTTTTGTGATAAAAGGCTCTGCTTCCAACTTTACACCTGTTTCCAAGTTTACTGTGATGTGTGCATTTGTGCCTTGATGGAATCCTCCTAAGGCTGGGCTCGTGCTCAAGGGGGACTGTGTGGTCCTGAGCTGGGACCATGGCCAAGTCTTAGAAGTGGGTTGTCATGTGCTGCTTTGGGCAACAGCTTGAAAGGATAGGTAGTCTGAATTTCATTAAAGTTACACAGCTTTCAAAACATCTTAAGAAACTTATTATTACGGTGACTTAAAAACATTTCTGCGGTGTCAGATGTCTCCATTTGTTCCAAAATGGACTTTCATGTGGTTACCCTGTCAAGGGTGACCATTGGTATATAGGGAGGTATTGAGGCTCATTGTGTTTTTGCATAGTCTGCAGGTGCTATCTTAAGCCTTTCTGATGTTGTCTTCCATTAGAAACAAGAAATTGCATATGGCAGTCCTGCATGTGCTTGGTTTTGTATTAATTCTTCCACTTGGGATTGTTATGTTTCTGGAAGAGTGACCTGGGAGATGCTAGGATCAGCTCTTTGTATGTTGAAAGCTCTTTGCTGAGCAAATATGAATGAGTTTGGAAAGTACTCTGCATTTGACAAAATGCTGTTGGATGTAAAAGTCTTTAGCACTTGATGTCTACTATTTGCAATTGATTTACAACTGTAGAGTAATGTGAATGAAAGCAAGTGTTAGCGCAAACTCTTGCACTTAGTTTACTTCCCAAATACTGATCTTTCCTTTTTTTTTTTTTTTTTCTTTGTTTGCACATGTAATATTTCTTGAACCCTTCAAATTAAGTCAGGGCTTTTTGTGTACGCCTTGGTTTCATATAGTATATTGCAAGTGTGACTCAGGGGAGCTGCTGAAATACTGCTTTGGTGTATTTGGTAGCCACTGTGCACTGACCATCTTAATTTCTTCTCTGGGACTCCTGTGTGTGATTAAAGGGAAGGGTGTGGATCTAATCCCATCAGTTTAAAAACAGATGGGCCTAACACTGGAAATCTTACTCTAGGTAAGATTTGAAATGCTTATTGGTGTTCTATTTATTTCTTGAAGGACTGTTTAGTTTGTTAGAGTATTTCACTGGAGGAGATGGGACAGATTGACAGGCCCGCAGAGGCAGTGTTATATATTGATGGACCTTTTTAGGGACTCTTTAGAAAGCATTTATTCTCTTAAAAGAGGTGGGAGATTGTACTACCTACCCCTCGTAGTGTGTAAATCAAAGCAGTACCATAATTGTTGCTGCCCATGAGGCCTTCTTATCTCAGTCTGAGCATGGGAGTGTACGAAAGTCTTCTTAAATGTGGTATAAATTATGTTTAGCTTTTGAACTAATGTCTTTGCTGGACAGACTGTTAAAATAAGTTTTTTTCTTTCTTTCTTTCTTTTTTTTTTTTTTTTTTTTTTTTTTTTTCCCCAGGCATGAAGGTGTAGTTTCTCTGAAGTTAACTATGTTGCTATACTTAAGTAACAGCACCAGTTGTATTGATAATGATAGTCTGTGTTAAGCCAGGTTTCTAGATGTTGCTAGAAGAGTTTGTCAGCTGGTCTTGTGAAGGTTAAGTGCTGCTTGTTACCACTTCAAACCCATTTCACTTTTCAGCAGCTCTGGTCATGATGAACTGAATAAGCTGGAAATTGCTCCCTTTATTAGATGGCTGACTTAATCCACTGATTTACTTAATCCATTCCTACGTTACATTATTCTTTTAAGACCACAAAAATTAAGCTCAGTTTAAGTACAGCTTTTGCTTTGCTGTGTTTAGGAATGACTAAGGTCCTTGGGCCTGCTGTAGTTCATATTTGTTTATATTTCTGAAGAGCTTTTTCTGGGTTAACTGGAGGAAATGCTCATTTCTTGCCTTATTGCAGTATTCTAGCATCAATTGCAGATCAGGGAGAGATGGTGGTAACTGGAGAGAGCATTTGGTCTCACAATAAAGCTTTGTATTCCAGCTCTGAAGGTATTAGAATTGCAAACCTGGCACATTGGTTTCTCAAATGACAAGCTTGGTGGGGGGAGTTACGTGCAAAGGGAATGTTATTTCTCTTTTGTGTTAAAATATTTGCTATCTCTAACACTGTAGAGATTTGGAGGGGAGGGGGGAACACAGAATTGGTCAAACCTGCGGTAAATCATATGGAATTGAATTTCAGTTTGATGTTTGAGAACTAATACATTTTTAAATTATGTAGCTTGGTGCCTGAAACTTTGTTAGCAGTAATGTTGCAAATAAAGATACTTACTTACCAGCTTGGTTTCCCCCTGCCTATAGTAGCGATTTTACGTTGAGGGGTTTCAGCAGTGTGCCCTTGTGGCCAAAAAGACCAGTGGCATTCTGGGGTGCATTAAAAAGAGCGTGGCCAGCAGGTCAAGGGAGGCGATCCTCCCCCTCTACTCTGCCCTGGTAAGGCCTCATCTGGAGTACTGTGTCCAGTTCTGGGCTCCCCAGTACAAAAATGACAGGGATCTCTTGGAAAGAGTCCAGCAGAGGGCCACAAAGATGATGAGGGGGCTGGAGCATCTCCCCTATGAAGAAAGGCTAAGTGAACCGAGTCTGTTTACCCTTGAGAAAAGAAGACTGAGGGGACCTGATCCCAGTCTATAAATACCTAAGGTGTGGGGGGCAGAGTGGCGAGGTCACTCTTTTCAGCAGTGTATGGAGACAGGACAAGGGGAAACAGCCAGAAACGGCACAAATGTGCACAAGAACTTCTTTACGGTGAGGGTGACGGAGCACTGGAACAGGCTGCCCAGGGAGGTTGTGGAGTCTCCTTCTCTGGAGATATCCAAGACCCGCCTGGACACCTACTTGTGCGACCTGGTGTAGGGAACCTGCTTTGGCAGGGGGGTTGGACTCGATGATCTCTGGAGGTCCCTTCCAACCCCTACAATTCTGTGATTCTGTGTTCTGGGTGTGTCTTAGACTTGTAATGACACATTTTTCTAAATAAGCAAGGACTTTGTAACTGTTTCCAGTGATGCCTTGTCTTATCCAAAAATCATCATATTTTCATTCTGAGGCTATTGGTGTTCTGGGAATTAATGTAGAGGTTCCTATTCTAGATAATATGCTATATTGCTTATTTCTGAAATAACTCAACAGTGTCTTAGTTGAATACAAACCTGTTCAGTAAACAGAGCTGGGAAGAAATGACAGCAAGTCAATGAACAGCTTAGTGTGAACTCGTGCAGCTGGTATTATAGGGCCTGTTCAGGTGCTGAAGGATAAAGGGATACAAATTGTGCTTCTGTGGTGTGATTTGACACCCTGCCCTCCCAATCCAATTTGAGTTAGAGGAGTTCTAATGTTCTGCGCTCTTAAAGTTACTTGAAAGAGCTAACGTACATCAGTAAAAATTGAGAAGGAACTTATTAATAAATTCTTTCTTCAAACAGGAAACCACTCCCAACCCTCAACCTTCAGAAGAGGAGAAAACCGAGCCAGCGCCTACTCAGGAGGTTGCCAGCCCTGAACAGTATATTAAGCATCCACTACAAAACAGGTGAGTAGTATGAAGCCGCAATATGGAGCTGAAAGTAGTAAAGCTGCCTTATTTAGCCAAACTGCTTATTAGACTTGAAATATCTGGAATGGCTGGTGTCTACAGTAATAATGTCATCAAGTGTAGGAAACACAGCAGAAGAAACACTGTGAAGAGCTAATGCATATGCTCGCATTAATGTCTCATCAAGAGAAAAAGCTGTAGGGCACCTGAATTTTCATTTTTATCAAGAAAAACATGGAGCCGCAGTTGGAAATAAAGAGACATTGAAAAATCCAAGCCCTCCTAACTAAATTCTCTGTTTAGCATGTGGAAATAGATACTACTTAAATTAGTAAGCTACTATTGCTTTCTGTGTTGGAAAGACAGCGAGGACTTCTCGAGTATAAAATCTCTTGATAAAACTGTACTTGGACTGACCTTCTGCAGAAATTTTAAACTTACAGGTTGAATTTGTTTAAATGTGCAAAGTGACTGCAGCAGAATACGTATACCTCAAACAGAGCAGCTGGGTGCTCATCTCCTCAGCTAAGGAGCTGGCGTGGAGTTGCTATTAAGTGCTGCCCTAAAGAGAATGTATTGTAGTGTGGCTGGCCTTTTACTCTCTTCTGTTTTGAGCAAACAAGGAGAACTATATGGCACGTTTTCATCTTTTCCCCTCGTTCTCTACTGTCCTCTTTGTCCATTTCTGTCCCTTTTCCTGTAAGCACTCTGCTTAAATTCTTGCTGATGCTTTCTTATGAGTGGTGTGGGGCTTTTTCTAGAAAATGGCTAACTTTTAAAGCAAGGTTTGATATAGTCAAAAAGTCTCAGCAAATACACACCACATGATTTCGGGAGTACTGTGGAAAGATAAATCTACTCTAGTGCTAACTGCAGTCAGCTCAATACTCCTGAAGTGATCAAAATAAGGAATAGGCCTGTTCTGTTAAATGCCTCCTCAGGTATTCCCTTCCAGCATTCCTGAGGAATGTCTTTTGAGTGTAAAAATTTTTTTTTTTATAATAATGTTGAACTTGTAGTCAGTTGAGATGTTGGAGAAAATAGGGTGGAAAATTATATTTAGTTTTCACATGTGCAGATCTAAAAACCTGAAGTGAAGTTTAAGCTGGTAGTTTTATAAACAATGAGTCAAAGTGACTTATATTTACATTTGTTCTCCTGGTGTGTGAATGCTAGGGAGACGTTTGTATATGTAACCTTAGAATGCTAGAATTAGCTTTTGACTTTTACAGAGAATTTATGGAAAAGGTAGCTGAGTTCCTGATTAGACTAATTGACAGTGCTTCAAACCATGATCGTTACTGGTGGGAAGACTTTGCAGTTTACCAGTGGCAAAAAGGGGAAACATCTGAGGCTTAGATATTTAGTCCTAGAAATGACCCAAACAAATTTGAAATAATTACCTCAATGAAATAATCAAGTCTTGCATAACTGTACTAACTTTAAGATGCATATTGCAGTGCTAGATTTTAGAAATGAGTTTTTCATGTTGCCTGCTATGCTTTCCATACTAATAATCTCTTGAGGCTTGCAATTACTTGGTATATAATCAGTACTGAATTTTATTTTTAATGTACTTTAATTCTAGATGCTATTATTCTGTCTCTTCTCCTCTAGATGGGCGCTCTGGTTTTTTAAAAATGACAAGAGCAAAACTTGGCAAGCAAACCTCCGTCTGATCTCAAAGTTTGATACTGTTGAAGATTTTTGGGCGTAAGTAAACGTGTTTCAGTCTGTGCAATGCTGATATGTGTTAGCGAAGTTTATGCCAAAATCGGAAGGCATAAAGTTCTTCATTAGCCACAGCTCTTATAAAATTGAAGGCCAGGTCTACTCCATCCTTCAGAATTTGGTAGACTGTAACCTAGAATATAATCTTTGAATTATGTGTAATTGGAGAAGTTCTTCATATTTTAAATGCACTTATTTTTGCTGTTAGCAGTGCTTATGGTCACATATACATAGCATTCATTTAGAAAATGGCATTTGTGCAGTACTGACATGAATCTGTAAACTCTCAGAGGATCTGATTGTCTTTTAGTTCCAAACTTTGATAGTTGGTTACATTCTTAGTTAGCTGGCTTATATGCAAGAATGCCTGTATCTGAAGCATAGCATTTGGAAGACTGGAGGAAAAGTAGAGGCATCCTTGACAGAATTGTAGACGTTTCAGAAGAAAATACCTTCATTCCAAGTTATAAGTCTGCAAAAACAAGTAAAGTCAAACAGGAAGAAACCCTTTTGAAAAGAGGCTTCTGCTTTTCAAATGCTCCAGTTAAATTCACTTTGCTTACTGGAAGATTTCACCTTCCAAAATAATGAAATGTGGGCCAGGGGATGTACTGTGCAAGCAGTGTGAGACTGAGAATGGAGGAAAAAAAAAAGCATTATATGCTTGATCTTAGGTGCTATGTGCTGCTTTGAACATTATGGTTCTTTGGGTTTCTGTTGCATGTTGTCTTTCAGATCTGTATGGTCTCTTAAGCATGGAGTAATAAAACTCATCAATGAAAGTAGCACCACCGGAGAAGAAACGTGTTGAAGATTTTAGGCTAATATTGTCAGTACAGTCATTGGAGGGAGGGGAGTAGGATTCTGTCCTTGAAACCAGTTTTTGTATCCCCCAGTGGAATATGTGATAAGTTGTTTGAAGCTGATCAGTATAGTTGGTGATGGGTAAGTTTTTGAGATACATAATCAAGACTGGAGAAGAAGTAAGTGTTCAGATGTCTCCAGTCAAAGTATAAAATAAGTCACAGTAATTAGGCACGGTCCAGTACTAAAAAGAAAACTAAGTGTTAGTTGGTCTTGGACTACAATTTAGTGTTAGATGCACGCTGTCTTCTGAAGTCTCACCTTAGCAGTGCATGAAAGGAAAGCACCTGTCTCCTTGCTAGGAGGCTATATATACTGCCTTAACTTTTTAACTCTGAATTCTGTAGTTGTGAATTTAATTCTGGCTGTATTTTGTATTGTTCTTCCAGTCATCTGTTCTTGCCTTTTGAGTTCTTATTTCAGTTTGAATTATCAGGCCTACAGTCTTCAATAAAATCTAATTGAATGCTTTTTAAAATCTCTCTCTGCAGAGAGAATAACCATAGGAGTATATTGTTACTCCATGCATGTGTACAGAGAGAGAGAATACACGTGCACAAAACTTTCTTTGCTGCATGAAAGTTCAGTTAGTTATGTTTTTTTTAACTGTTAGAACTAGGTTTAGAAGAAGGAAAGGTATTTCTGGAAAATACTGTGGTGTAAGAGCCCAGCTAGTGTTGATGAAACGAGTTTCCATTCTGCTTCTCTAAGCTAGAGCTTCTTAAAGCTAATGCTTTTGTACTTCTGGGGAAAAAAGCAAACTAGGTAACAGGGTTGCTTCTGAATAACTTTAATGCTGTTTAATTTTTATATTTTATTCAGTCATGTCCTAAATTTTTTAAGAGTTTTGTACCTTAAAATAATGCTTAGTTTTTAATCCTGCTGTTTTTCCCTCCAATAGTTTATACAACCATATCCAGCTCTCTAGTAATTTAATGCCTGGTTGTGACTACTCGCTGTTTAAGGTATGCTTGCTAACCATTTTTCTTCAGTTGTGGATGTTGATTGATGATTTCCCAACTAAGCAAGACAGTGTCCAAACGTTTCATTTCAGACATGTGGGAACACGGTTGGAAATGTCCTAAAAAAAAATTTTTAGGAAGTCCCAAACACATGTGCTCTGAAAATCACCGTTACCAATACTGAAAATGGAAGTAATTCCTTCAGCATTTTAAATACAAAACACTTTGATCTGTACTTATGTTTATATCTTCATTCTAGCTTGTAGATGTTTATATGAATAAGTCTTCATTTTATGAAAAGAGAGATTTTTCCAGTTCTGTCACTGTCACATAAAATTAGCTAAAATGGTTGAGTTCTATGGAGAATTGCAATGTACTCCAGCATTCAGAATGAACACTACTAGCCAGCTGCACAGCACTCCTGTGATTAATTTTTATGATGCCAGTTAAGTGCCATATTCCTTAGGCATGAAATAAAAAATTGTACACAAGGCTGGCAGTTATTAAGCATTCAAGGTAGCTAATAGAAAATGCCAAGGAGAAATTATACATGAAATCCTGCCTCTTGTCTGGAGTGGACATCTGATTTGGAGCTCTAAATTAATTTCTAATCTCTACGAAGTGCTTCTAACATACAGCTTCCTTTCTGGATTCAGATACGTAAATAATCGTGTAAGTACTGATGCTTGGCTTCTCCTTTGCTTATGAAACAGACCCTGGCTGGGACCCCTCAGTAGGTTGTATGCAAATTGTAAATCCCAGCAGCTTTGGGCAGTGAAAAGGTATTTATGCTTGGTTTTGAGAAGATAACAATATTTATGTTGTGAGAAACTTTACTGGTAAATGTTGATAAACTGTTCCCTTCAAATCTTAGAAAAAAATACAGTTCATGCTTGTATTTTTGTCTGAATCCTAAATTTGTCTCTGTGCATTTATTCAGTGTTTGCATGTTATCAACAGAAACTTTAATTTCCATCTATATGGAACAGGTATAGAGTTGTCAGCTGTTGTGGACTTGAGTGATCTCTTGCTGTTGTCCTTCAATTGTGACCTCATAAGAGTTCCTCTTAAAGGTGATGAAGCAGTTTGAGCTCTGCAGCTGCCAGTGAGGGTGTTAAATTTGAGAAAGTGAACTGGCAGTGTTCCATCCTGTAGGTTGAACATTTAATTAGATTGCAGCTGAAATTCTATAGTGTGACTCTCTTAATAGCCATTTCTTGTCTGAATTTCTCTGTCCAGAAAATTATCTGCTTTTTTTTTTTTTTTTTTTCAATGACTGACCTTCCTTCCTGAAGTTCAGCATAGCTGGTAGATGCAAGAGTGGTAGCTGATTTGTTTGCAAGGTTCAACGTATCCCGAGTCATTTGATGTGGTACAGGGCCTTTGGTAATGCATGAATGAGACTGTAATTTATTTCTAAATGGTCTGCTGATTTCTTTAATTTTTTTTTGTGGCCCTAGTGATTAGAACTCTCTTATTTTCACCCCATGTGTGCAGGAAGTCAGAGAGAGACTGCCAGGGTGTTTTTTAGTGAAGTAATCTTCACACATAAGTGGAGTACTTGGCCAGTGTTGTGCTGAGTCCAGGACTTAAAATAAGGACTCCAGAATGTGGCTGCTAATTTTATCTGGTTTCAGAGAGGGCGAAGTGGATGTTTGACTTTGCAATGTATTTTATGCTATACTGTATAGCTAGGGCTTCAGCTTGGGCTGAGAATCTTTTGTGGAAACAATGACTAAAAAAAAAAAAGAAAAAAACACTAGGAAAAGTTCCAAAACTTCTTAAAAAGCAAACTTCAGTGTTGGTCCAAAGTATTTCTAGACAAATATGTATCTCAAACTATACTTCTGGGTGCTGTTTCAATTATCGTTGGTCTTTTGGTTATATCCAAGGAAAAGTATAAACCAATTCTAATATAACTTCTGACTGTTCTTTTCAGGATGGGATTGAACCCATGTGGGAAGATGAAAAAAACAAGCGAGGAGGCCGATGGCTAATTACACTAACCAAACAGCAGAGACGAAGTGACCTTGATCGCTTCTGGCTAGAGACAGTAAGTTATATGGCCTTAAAAGTTGCAGCTGAAGAAATTTGTGTTAAATATTTTAACTGCTCTTTATTCCTGTGTGCTATTCTGGACTTACAGTTTCATGCTAGCATATTATTCTCATGCAGGCTGTGTTTTATTGATGAGCTGCATTTGAAACATGATCTTTTGGAATGATGCTTGATGTAGTTGTATGCCATTGAATATTTTCTTAGAATTTTCATGATTGCTGTTTGCTATACAAAATTTTCCCATAGGATGTTCTTGACATATTTGCACAACTATTAGAGTAATACTTGGTCTTGAATATGATTCTCAAATTTATTTTAGCTGCTTACAAGTAATTATTTGTTTATAAATACTCTTACAGGTGAGTAGTTTCAGAATTGTTTTTTCTTACTTGTCCTAACACTAGAATAATGAAGGAATAGCAAAATATTCCTGTCTACTATAAAAAATGTTTTTTTCCCATTGCTGTTACCTGTTCTGGGATATACTTTTTAAAACATTAAGTATACTTTTAGAGATACTGTGTGTCACAGTAGATGTGTTCTGGAAAAGAATACTGTTGTACTGCCTAGGAACCAATTAAGTAGTCTAAAAGATATGATCTGGTTTTTAGGGGCAGCTATTATATGCAATATAATGCAAAGCAATTTCATCAAAACTAAACTAATCAAGCTAGCTTTTCTTCTCTGCTTCATTGAGAAGAAAGTATTCTGCTTCTTAAAAGAGAGGAGTGGCCTTTGGAATCAAAGTTAAAGTATCCAAAATACAAGAGCATTTAAGTTGATTCTGGTCACTATCACTGATTTGAGGAAAGAATTATTAGACATTATACTTCTGGGTAAAATATGGTTTTACATGGGTAAATGAAACTCTTGATATGTGCATTTAAACATATGTGTAGGTCCTTTTGACTCTTGATAGCCATTTCATATGGATTGGCAACACATAGTCCATATAGGCTTAGGACTATAGAAAGCACTGCTTTTTGTTTACTCCCAGGTGATGGCACAGCCCAAAGGGCCAGGTGACTGAGACCTGCTTTAAGATAATCCTGTCTAATTCCCATAATTATTTGTAACCAACTATCTCCAATAAAAATCAGTGTTTATCACTCTCCTTTGTTAAAATATAAGTCTTTACCATTCTTAACTGGAGATTAAACTTAATTTGAGAAGACTTTCCTCTTGTGTAGCATTCATGAAAAATTTGCTTGACTGGTGCTTATTGAGTATTGTAGTCATCTTTGCTTACTTATGTGCTGTTGATCAATGTTTTTTGAGTGTTCATGTGGTTTAGCCTTTAATCTTTATGGCTTCTACCACTGCTGCTGGATGTAATCTTTGGTATGTGTAGTTATGCCTGATTTATTCAGTAGCACACTTTGTCCTTTTTATTTCATTGATGAAATCAGCCCTTGCAGCTCTCAGGAGCACTGAAAGACCTGCTTTATTTAATATTTTGCAAGAGTGTTGAACTTCCAAAAGTTGTGACTCCAGAAAATTAATATAATGACCAGTGTGTTTAAAATGTAATGTGCTAGTGAAGTAAAAAAAGGTCCATTTAGAGATGAGTACTTCAGTGTGGAGAACAATAACTACAAGAACTTATCAGCTTTGAATATCTAAAAATTGTGTTGCGCAAGTTGAAAGTTGAAGATTTTAAGCATCACTTTCAGTTAGTGACATAACTCCTTAGAAACTTCATATCAAGTTATCATCTGTCATTTCCAAACTTTGCCATTAGAAATCTGGGAAGAGAATCTTGTATTATTTGTACACTAGTGTTGATGCATTGCAAACAGTTGAGGATACTGATTCCCAATACATAGCTTTTAGGAACTCTGAATTTTCTTAAGTAAAATATTGATAGGAAATACTTCATTAGATTGCAACTTAAAAAGTGGTACGTGGTTTGCCTTTGAATTGTTGCATTTCAGAATTGAAGTCATATCTTAGACAGGTGATGCATTGCTCAAATAGTTTCTCACAGGTTCCTTCCAGTTAATGAATGTAAACTAAAATTTCCCATTTGTCTGTCTGTGTACTTCATAAAGAATAAATTCCTTTAATTCCTGCACCTATTTGGATTGAGGACTGAGAGGGAGACATAAGTGATCATCTGTCAGAACTTGCATCTGTCAAAACAGAAGAGACAAACTCGAGGAAGATGCTACTGCCAACTGAGTTTACAATCACTTGTAACATTTGGGACTTTGATAAGACAACAGAATACTGTTGCTATATGACTAGTGGGTATAAGCAGTAAAACATAATAATCCTCAAAGCACTTAGTGTTTTGTCTATGGAGCAGAATTCTGACTTTAAACTGCTACTTTAATTGTTAATGTTTATTTTGTAGCTGCTGTGCCTTATTGGGGAGTCATTTGATGACTACAGCGATGATGTATGTGGTGCTGTTGTTAATGTTAGAACTAAAGGTGATAAAATAGCAATATGGACAACTGAATGTGAAAACAGGGATGCTGTTACGCATATAGGGTAAGTAATGTGATTTGTTTCTCAAATGAACGCGAAGTGTAACAATGCACTTACAGCTAGTTAATTAAAAAAAATGCACTTTTGGCAAATGTAACCTGAGCAGAGCTGTATCCCAAGTTCAAGTAACTCACTGTAAAGTTGTTTGCTTCACTGTTTAGTTTTTGTGGGCTCGCATCAGCAACTTCATTGAACTACTGTACTCTATTTGCTATAGTATAGAAATAATCACGAGTTCAACACAGATCTTGGCAGGAGCTTTTAGTTCCATAATGAGGTATTGTAAGTAGTTTTTGTAAATAGTGTAAATTCTGTTGCAGCATGCCAGTTTGTAAAGCTGGCTAGTCACTAACAATAGAGCATTGGTAAGCTTGTTCTTGGGAAAAGGATGCTTAGAAATGGGAGATGGAAACTCACCAGCACATTCTTATATTTGATAAGAGCTGGATAGTAACGCATTGCAAAATTACAGATGGTTTTCTTTTTGTCTGTTTACATACAAACCAAGTTCTGGATTTCTGATGCATGAAATGGTGTGTTCTAGTCTTTGTTTTTGTAAAAGACAATAGCTATCTTTAAGGAGAATACATTTAGTCTGCTATTTAACAAGTATTGCTAAAGCTCATGGATTCTTTTTGCTGTGATATTGATTGATATTTCAAAGTTTCCTACTGTTTCATTCGGTCACTGAAGGCCTCTTAAATATTTACAGTGGTTTACACAGGTTGTTTCCAGTTCATCTAATTGGTCTTAAGCCAAAATTCAACTTTCAGGCATGGCAGCTTCCAGGATGGCTCTTAGCACGTGCCTCACTTGAATCTCTGAATCTGAGGGTCAGACTTGCAGAAACTGTTTAATTACAGTATGATCTTATTGAGACTTGAAAGGTGATTAACAACAAACAAACAACTGTGGTACACATCTTATGCTGATGGGAAAATATCTGCTAGGTTTGATGTAAGGTTATTTGAGTGCACTTTAATATGTTGTTAATGGCTAAGATGCCTCCATTGAAGAACTATCTGTAAAAGCTGAGACTTTGCAAACTGAAAAAACTTGAGTAAGCTACCTATTGTCATGTTGCCATAACTGCAAGTACACTATGTCAAGCTTTTATTTAACAGTTAAAACTGGAGTAAGCTATAATCCTGTAAACTGTCCCATTACGATCAGGGTAAGCTAAAATTTTAACAGTGCTGAGAAAACTTCTGTGGCTTAGTCAGAGGTTGCAACCTACAGCCGCTAGCTTACATCCTATACTCTTAATCAAGCAGCATAGTGTGTGTAGGGGGAGGGTAACAATGACTTGATCTCTGAAGTCAAAACATCCAAGCTGAGATTCTCCTAAAGCTTTGGTTTGGTAGGTGTCTGTGACAGTACTTTAATGAACTGGGGGCAACAGGGTCCTGCTTTCTGTGAGTTTTCAAAAAAAAACTGTAAGTCAATTCAATTGACGAGCGTGGTGGTAAGCTGGCTGTATTTCAGGGAATTGCTGTTTCATTTGATATAAGTTACCATCTCTGCCATTCTGGAACTGTGGATGATGGCTTCTTGATAGTTCTTTGTTTCTGTATGTGTGAATACAGCTTGATGTTGATGATATTTATGTGAATGCAGTAAAATCAGTATTTTACAGTTATGTACATTATTTTTTGGCAAGAATTTTATACAGATATTTTTTTTTATTCAACAAGCTAGCAAATCCATGTTTAAAGTCCCTCATTTGTACTTGAGAAATTTTCTAAACCATTTCAATTAGTAAGACAACTAAGTGAATTGAGTTGGTTAGGCAACTGTTTCCTAGGAAATAGCAGAAGATCTTAAATGCAGCTATCCTGTTACTGATTCCTTTTGAAGAGCTTTGCTTAAATTATTCTTCTGTTTCTTTTCTCCAGGAGAGTATACAAGGAAAGACTAGGACTTCCTCCAAAGATAGTGATTGGTTATCAGTCCCATGCAGACACAGCTACTAAGAGCGGCTCCACCACTAAAAATAGGTTTGTTGTTTAAGAAGACACCTTCTGAGTATTCTTTCATAGGAGACTGCGTCAAGCAATCGAGATTTGGGAGCTGAACCAAAGCCTCTTCAAAAGCAGAGTGGACTACATTTAAATTTGATTTCCATCTAAATGTTGCTAAGATTTGTGAGAAGTCTAATTCGCCTTTGTCTTGTACTTCTGTGTTCATTTTTTTCTATTTTGGCTGAAGTAACCATTACCAATCAGAATTTTAGTACGCCCCCCTGAGTCATAAATGTTTTCCTGGCCCACTCTGTAATAGCTTGGTAGAAACATTACTATTACAAAAAACATTTGTTTATCCACAGTATTCAGAAAAGTTGCATTTCTGTACCTGCAGGAAATTACTCTGTTTTACATTTGCGTTGTATGCAGTAACATTTTGCTGGTTTGGAAAAGAGTATGGTGCATACAGTTTTCTAGCAATTTTTTTATACAGCATCACCTTTGCTGTAACCTATGCTGATGGCTGCTAGATTAATTTATTTGTTTTCCCTATTTGATAACATTAGTGATATATTGATTTCAGTTGTTTTTGCTCATGTAACATTGGTGAAGAATCTGGGAATATGACAAAGGTGGAATAAACATTAATTTTGTGCATTCTTTGGTAATTTTTTGTTTTTTGTAACATCGAAGCTTTGATACAAACTTATGCATTTCAGTCAAATTCAGTGATCTATTTGTGTGATTTCCTAATCATAATTGTGGATTTTTTTAATGTAACACCATAATTTACATTCCTTACTAGAAATAGTATGTCTGTTTTTGTATCTTATGCTGTATTTTAACACTTTGTATTACTTAGGTTATTTTGCTTTGGTTAAAATGGCTCAAGTAGAAAAGCGGTCCCATTCATATTAAGACAGTGTACAAAACTGTAAATAAAATGTGTACAGTGAATTGTCTTTTAGACAACTAGATTTGTCCTTTTATTTCTCCATCTGCACAGCAAGTATTTGTACTTCTTGTGACAAGGCAGTCTCTGCTGTGGCTTCTCTTGTAGTGTCTTCCAAGAAAGATGAGTCTGGAGCTATGATTTATTGAAACTTTTACTAAATCCATTAGATAGCACCCTAAATGAAAGTGAAGTTATATTGATGTGGCTACTGTTTTCTCTTAGTGGTTGGTCTAACTGATTGTGGTTTGCACGGTTTCTCTTTTGGCTTTGGTGCATACCAAGAAATTTGAAGGTACTTAAGAGGCCATCTGGTTTCAGGTGGCAGTTACAGTAGAAGCACTGAAGTGAATGGTTCTGCTATAAATATGTAATTGCTGTGTGAAATAAAAGTCAAGAGCACTAGAGAAATGGCAACAAAACAAATGTATGAGGAACTAGACAGTCTGTTTTGCATGTCTTACTGTAAAACAAAACGTTAATCTGAAAGTTCCTGTGGGAGCTGCAGGTTAGTTTGACATGCAGGATTAGGGGAAAATTTTGGAGAAGGGCGCTGAGTTTAATTCTCATTTTGAGTATGATACGAGAACCTTTTTCTGTATAAAAGTAGAGCATACAGCAAATCAGTGTTGTGGTGTTCTTAATTTTTAGTCCTTTAGGATCTTAACAGGACAATATAGCTCTTTAAACTTAAAGGCAGATACGTATTGGTTGTTGCTCTTCAATTAAATTCCTTAAAGCGAGTTTAGTCACTCACTGGTGATGAAGCTTTAGTTGAATTAGGCTTTTTGGTCTGCCTTTGATTAGGTATTTCTACATGCGTAGATAGACTTAAACACTTTCTTGCACATTTTATAAGAAAGTAGTGCATTAGATAATACCAAAAAGGCATTATATTAGCTTCTTAATCTCTATCTAAAAAGAAACACATAGCAGGTATCTGTGTCTCATGACATCTAATGATACTATGCCCTCAGTATTGGTCATTAACTAGGACTAGAATGGGCGTTGAAGGTGGGGAGCACCGTTAGGCTCTTTGTATGCTGGTTTCTATAGATTCTGGTGTAACTGTTTGCCCTGATTCAGCAGGATTGTAGAGCAAGATGAGTTTGTTTCATAGGGCCATTTGTAGAATATAGTAATCTCTACCTGTTTTCAGACTTAATACTTCAGTAGTCATCTTTTCAATTAAAGTAAGCTCAAATTAAGTTTCTTCAAACCATTTCTGTTCTGTATCATAACCTCCAAGATGAGTAAAGTTAATAATAGCTTTGACACTTCCTAATAAGCTAGTATTTATCCTAAATAAGTAAGACTTGCATGCATGGAAAGGTTAAGATGAATCAGTTTCTTGAGAGGTAACATTAAAGTGTTTAGGTACATGTAATTTGGGAGCACTGGATCTAGGTTCACTAAAGTGAGCATAATTCAAAAATGTAGGTAGCACTGTCCATCTGTGAAGAGCTTCAAGTTTAAAATGAATGCTCTTGTGAGAAGGTTGTAGTGTTTTTAATTTTGCTACAAGACTGAATAGAATATTGTTCAGAATAGCTGCATTTGCTCACCTAGGAAGGTGATTGATAGTATTTTCAGTGTGGTCTCAAATTTCTGAGCCTGAACCTACTTAAGAAGCCAACTGACTTGCACCATAGTTTGAAAATTTGCAATAGGTTGACTTGAAGCTTTTCATTGTTGAAATATCAATTGCTGTGTTTCTAGGAGACTCGAGTGGAAATTAAATTACATATTTACTTTATCAAATATCTAACTTATGCCTGTGGTTTCTTGCCAGAAAGTGATAAGTGACCATGAACCTCATTCTCTCAAACTTGCCAATTGTTTTGTGCTGCATAATGTTGTTATGATGGTGTAATCTGTATTCTCACAGGATACTATGGGAGAAATCTGAGAGCTGTCCATTCTATGTATTAATAAAACAGCTATTGCCTTATAGAAAAAGAGGCAGTATTTAGATTTGTTTAAATAACTAGTTTTGTACAAAGTATTTAATGTCATTAAACACTGACAACAGCTAACCATTTACCTAAATGTGTTTCAGTAAGCCTGAGAAGACTAGACAATAAATGTCTGAAGTGTCTATTTTGAAGTGTTTTTATATGGTACAAAACCAGCAAAGCAAGGAAAGAAAAGAAAAAAAGTGACTGTTCAAAGAGGTGCATGAATGTGCCAAGATATAGCCAGGGAGGCAGGGATAAAAGATGAGGAGTACATATGAATCAACAGCTTCTGGGTCTCCTGTAAGTCTTGGAATAGGCAGTGTTTTTCATTATCCCTTTCTTGTCCATTTGTAGCTTCACCGTCTTGTTTCAGACTGTCTCTAGCTCAGGAAAACTAATTTTTACTGAGTTGATCAAGTTGTGGAAATTTGGAGTAGTGTTTTTTTAGCAAAACTTAAACTGAGCTTAAAACTTCTACTTAAAATGATATCTTGTCCTACAGAAAGGCTGAGAAAAATAGGTGATGGGACCCTTAATAAAAGCAAAAAACATTCAGTTTGAACCTAGTAAAGTGACACGGATCATCTTTGGTGTATGTAACCTTGTTTCCAAGAAGCTTTACATTTGAGTCTGGAGCTGATGGTTTTACAACTAGTGTCTGCACTGGGGAGAACTAAACAATGCGGTTGAGCTTTCTGGCAAAACTCGTAGAGCTTTCAGGCTGTTGGGTTCTTAGTTTTAGATGTTGTCTGTATGAATCCATTACCCTCTTAAGAATAGTCAATGGTTTCCACAGTTTTCAGTGAATAGGTTTTAATTAGGTCTCACAAAGTTCTTAAGGAGAATGTGTGCCTTCTCATATTCAGCAAGACGTCGTCTTTTTTGGGAACAGGTTGTATGGCAAGAGTTTACTTTGCTTAGATGACTTGTTGATATTCTCTACTCCTACAGCTGTACTCTCCACATCCCCATCTCAGCTCCAGTTAACTGAAAGTGACATCACAGTATTTTATACCTGACCATTTTGTTTCAAGTCTATCCCAGCTAGGTGAGCAGGAGTGCAGAGCATATTAGCAAGCTGTGGAACCAACCAGTCTTAACTATCCAGTGCACCTGCCGAACCTCCCTATTACCATTTCAAAGCTCCAGAAGCTGCTGAAATTTGAAGACTGCATTTTGATCTCTACAGTGTAGCTGCTTGAACAGTATCACTGTCCTTTATCTGTGGAAGTTTTGTATTCTGCCAGAACTTGTTTGCAGGCATCTAGCTCTGCAACAAAGCCTTTAATAAGCACTTAAATTCCTTTCCATGTAATTCCTTTCCATGGTCATTTCTGCTTCTGCTCATGCCTAGTGGCTGCCTGGCATTTTCCCAAAAGGCCACGGGATGCCCCATAAGCCTTCCTGTTTAGAAATAAAGCAGATTCTGATGTCAGAGAGTTAAATGTGAATTGTGACTGAACATGATGATTGTTTTGTTTCCCAGCACTTTTTGTGTGATGCCTTAAATGTAAAAACAACCTAGCTGAAGTCAGTCTGTTGGTATCAATTGTGTGCTAAACTCAGTTTTCTTATCCACTTCTAGTACTGAGCCTGTGACAAGCTTAACCACGAGTAGATGAGGTTTATGACTGCCTGTACTTTTCCCATTTCATTTTTTTCTAAAATGTTTTAAACTAAAGGTAAAAATTACAGAGTCCAGTCACTGCTTTTTTGGTCACTACAATGCTACAGTGTGTGGAGTTCCAGCTGTTGCTAACCCACCCGTTGGGTAAAGACTGTGACTTCTTTGGCATGGTCTACTTATGGGGTTTTCACTTCTTTTTTTTTTTTTTTAGCCATGTATGATAATAATGGAAATGATACTTGAAAGTATGTGTGTGAATATATCATATAAAAGCAAAAATGACTCATCTATTTTTTCTATTTTTCAGAGTAGAATACTGTTATTTCTAAAAGGTTTCTTTGGATGACTTTCTGTAATTAATCTTGGATTTTGCTTATAGTAGATAGTTTAGAGCAATCTTTTTTTCTTTTTGTTTTGTCTATTAATGTTACGTTATTGAAGAGTTGAAGCCAACCTTACATCTAAGGTTTGGCATTTTTGGAACTAGAGCTATGTTTTGTTTGAGCCTTTTCTTTCTTATGTACAGGGTAGTTATCTTAGTGCATTTCACCCTGAGCCATATAAATGCAGAAAGTTTGATGACCAATTTAAAGGTGGTACTTTATTTCTGTAGCTTGAATGAAAATAAAGCTTCTGAGGAACTGAATGTCTCGGCTTCTTGACTCTGTATGGAATGTTGAGGAACGTAAATCAAGGATAAATGAATAAGCTGCTGGTTTGGAATACATTCACTCTTCAGTTTGTTGGAGCTTCTGTGTAGAGAGGGCTTCTGCAGCTTGCCTTGACTACAGCTCAGCCTTGTTCCAAACAATGCATACAGCATGACTAAAAATGCTGCTGACTGCTCTTCCCTTGTTTACCATAGTTTCTCCAGCAGGAAGGAATGGAGACTAAATACTCTTGTTTGGGTGGTACCAGCTAGCAGAACATTGCAGCTAATCTTAAGTTGGAGACAATACCTGCAACATTCAGGAAAGGTTTTAGTTTGAGTGTGGGCAATCCATGAGGGGCTATAAAAAGCCCTTGCCCTGTAGGCATATCATTGCACAGCTGTTCACTTAATACTGAAGACTTTCTCAGGATACAAGTGTAGATGTTTAACTCTGCTGCTGTAAATTCATTTGATTATAGTTGTCTTGTGTTTGTGAAGTGGCAGTATTATTATGTAGGCAGGAAATGGTGAGTATTAAGTTCAAGAAGTGGAAAATGCTGCTTTAAGGCTTCCCTGGACCCGATGAATTAATCTTTGGGTTCATTCCCTAAAGCAAGGTAGAAACATCTGCAAGCTGGAATCTGGGAACACATGCACTCCAAATTTTGGAGGTTTTTAAAGAAATACAAATCTTAGAAGTCATCAACAGAGATGTAATGTCCCTATGCATGCAAACTGGGGACAGTGAGGAGGAGTGAAGGATAAGGCCAGAACTAAGGTTTTCTCAGGTCATGAGAGTTGTTCAAAGGTATATTGGGAAGAAGTAAAAATTCAGACAGATTTGAGCATTCACACGTTTATCTGGGAAGCAATGCTATTCCAAGATCAAGTCTGCTGCAAAGAACTAATATCCCTTCTCTTTAAATGCTATCGTGTAGTTAATGTTTCTCACTGCTTTAGAGTCAATATATACACGTGTGCAGGAACATCTAAGTATTACAGAATTGTAGGGGTTGGAAGGGACCTCTGGGGATCGAGTCCAGTCCCCCTGCTCAAGCAGATCGCCAGCAATAGGTTGCACTGTGCTGCACAGAAGGCTGCAAAAGTAGTTCCTAAATCCTCAAAATCATGGTCGTTTCACCTTGTTAATGGGACCACTTCAGATTGCAATGAAGGTGAAAGGTGAAAAATCTCTACACTGGGAATTACTAATGCATTGGAGTTTGTAATAGTGGTGAATACAAGTCAAAAGCTGCAACAGCAATAACTGGGGGTATGAGTTTTTCAATATTTAGATACAAACAACATGTTAAAGAGTAGATGGTTCTGTCACATTTTTGTGAAATGTGGAGCTGGGTGTAAGCTTTTGCCGTGTATGCTGTCTGTTACACGCAGTAAGCTGCAGGATTGAGGTGAGGTTTTCAGCTCTGCCCTCTAAGGTCGTGTACTCTAACTGGTCTCAAGTGTAAGAATAGTGCAAGAATGTGCTCTTGGGTCTGATCTATCTGATGTTATTGTACTAAACCTGTCACCTGTGGGGGTTTTTTGATGTTGTGATACAATCCAGGACAAGTATTCATGTGAAATACTAGGTCTGCTGCCAGAACGTGATTAATTCTGAACAGAACACAACCCCAACAGCCTTTTCTCAGTTACACACTTGCAGCTACATTTCAGTCGCACTGAAGCATATGATTTAAGGTCACCTCTAATAAAATTTATCTGAGGCAACTTAGTCCTACTCCATTTTTATAATTTCTATTCATTTACACAACAGATTTGGCTTTCCTGAAGTCTGCACACCTTCACTGTAACATGAGTGAGCTTCAGCTGTAGCCTGGTGTGTTTTACAGTCCCCAGCTAGTTGTATTGGCAGCAGTGGAGCTCTAAAACCTTTGAGCAGCATTGGTGAATGCACCTGCATGCAGGCTGGGTACAGTTAAACTTGGTCTGGTGGTTAGTATACTTGCTGGAAAAAGTAGGGAAACCAAACTTCATGGGGCCTGGTGTGTATATTTAAGGGGTTTTCCAAAGCTGAGCTGCAGCAATGTGGAGAATGCACATAGTTGTAACAGTTTCAACAGTGCTCAGGAAAATCTAGGGAAGAGAGAGTCCAGCAACAGATAAAAGAAGCAGAAGCTCATGTGAGCATGCCAAAGGGTAATGAAACTATGACTCAGCTGTGCCTGAGCTGCTGGGGCAGTGGAACAGTTCCTGCTGGATCTAAGAGATAACCCAAAGGCTATTAGAATCTGTAGGTTTTGTCCTGAGGAGCTGTTTGATGTGCAATATGGGCAGCACAAGGGGAGCTCTGTGCAGTGGTCCTTTATGCTAGCCAGAGCACCAAGCTTTCCCAGGTGGTCTGCTGGGCTAGAAGGCAGCTGCTGGGCTGCATGCAATAGACAGTCCTTAGCTGGATATGAAATTCCAAAACAACTCAGAGGCATAGCCTGTGTGAGCTGTTCCATACCTCGTAATGGCATGAGGGCACGGGTGACTCATTCTGCAGATTTTGTGCCAGAGGACTTGGCAAGCAAGCATCGTCTCAGCATTAATTGCAGCAAGGAAACCAGTGTTAATGATGGTCACAAAGACAAATGAAAGGCAGCTGAGCCACAGTGTTCTCTTGGGCAGATGCTGAGCCTGGAATCAGATGTGATAAAGGAGGAACAAGTTTTACAACTCCTCATCAGCTAGCATCAAATCCTGTCGTTAGGGCAGC